TGCTGCGGGATCGATCAGCTAAATTACCCATGCCGTGGTACCTCCGCAACGTGGTTACTACACAGGCTTGGGATATGGCAACTCTGCGTGCTATTTCTCTCGTAGAACAGCCGTTTTCCCTCAAAGTTACAATTCTGGCTCGTAAAACATCTGATAATACTCGTGGCATTTTTTAAATCACAACTTTCTGTGAAAAAAATAATTAAAATTCGATAATATTGACTAAGTCAGATTTCTGAATGAGTGTCAGCTTGGATTGCATGTCTCTTTATACATAAAAACAATTGATTTAATTTATTGTTCTACGTTCTAATTCTAATTTTAAAATTAAGAATCTTATCAGAAAAAGAATTTACAAAAAAGTCTTCTGTAACCCAAAAAACAACTTGGATTTTAATTATAACAGATCAACAAAATTCTCGCGATATTTTGTGAATAGCGGGCTTATGAAACATTTAAAGTTTTAATTGCATAGTTCTTATATTTTAAATTTAATTGATGTCTAAAAACCCTGATTTCGACACTGACTTACAGACGGTCATCAAATTGTAAGGGTATTTATTAGTATCCAAGAAAGCTGAAAACTGGTATGTAAGCTAGTATTAGTATGTACACAAAACAATAAATTATAAAACTTCTGACTTTTTTCCCCCAACCCTTTAAACTAGGGGATGGAGGATTGTATAACATTTCCACAACTATGACGCTAGGTCTGAAATTTTATATAAGGACTCCTTATTATTATAATCATTTTTCATTATTACAATTACATTCTCATAACCTGGCCATTTAGATACTTCAAGAAATAATAAATAACAGAAAAGTAATGAACAGTGGATAAATTTTCACCTTGCACCCTTGTAAATGTAGCAAAATGGCTAAGCCACATATTTTGACTAAAGTGTAGAAATTTTGAAGTAATACCTTGTATTGTTAGAAGCTTGACTCTAAATCAGATCTGATAACTTTTTGACAATTCGTGTCAATGGTCTCGTTTGGCAACATTTTCGTGTATAAATTTATAAAATTTTAATAGTAAAATATTTAATTGTAGCAGACGTATAAAGTTATAAAAAATCTTACAATAATAATTGCTGTGGGTCCATATTGAAATGTTTGTTACAAAATATTCTTTTTATTATTTATTTATATATTTTTTAATAAAAATTAAATAAAAAATCTTATAAAGCGATGGCCAATCATCCCACATGTTACCTTAGCCTTGCCACTTTATCATTTTTTTTTATAGATAGGTCCGACAAATGACTCCACTTCACCTGATGTTAAGTGAAGGTGAAGTCCAGACGCGAAGATAGCTGATACAGCACTTCTACTTGCCACACCAGCTATCCTCACCCTGCCGGCCTGCATGTTGCTTCTTCACGCCTCTTTTAAAGGATCCCAGGTTGTAACAGGGAGGGAACACGTGAGCGGGCAGAGCATTCAATTTACGGATAGTGCGACAAAGAAATGAGTCACTAAATTTCTTTGCCGTTGGACTGATTTCAATCCTTTCTAGTAAAATTTTCATTACTTATTAATAATAATAATAATAATAATATTTATTTCACAAGCCAGTTTTACAAGAATCGTACATCACAATATACACTATAGCTTAGAATAAACATTTATAAACATTTATAGTATCCTCTGTGCCTGTACTAGGTTATAAAAATACCTGTATCACAGACACAGCGCTCATCCCTAAGGACCAGTTATACAACCTTTATGTAAGGAAAAAAATACAATTCTTTTGTTAGCTTAACAAAGTTAAATCAAAATATTATTTAAGTAAAAGAAATTAATTATTTATGTGTTTATAGAGCCTCCTTTTGTGTGAAGTGAATGTGAATGTGTGTGTGTAGGAGGGTGTGTGAAGATTTTTACTTTAGATGTCGAGTATAATATTAGTAAAGCTAATACTATGATTATGATACTTGGAAAGTTAAAAGTATATACATGAAATACACAATTTACAACTAAGATTGGATTTTTAAAAGGTTTTCTGTGCTTGCATAATTTAATTGTTTAAGCCAATTACAAACTTTGGATTTACACTGTGCTTTGTTGAGGGGATATATATTTAAAATTTTATTTATTTGATTGTAAATGTAGGGGCCAATGAAACATGTGAATTTGTGCATGTATGAATGTTTAAAGGACGGTATAACACAAACTTTATAGCCGCGTCTAGTACTGTTGTAGTCTTGGTCGTATGATGTAACTGAGTGTTGTTTTAATATACAAGCTAAGATAAAAATCTGTCGCACAGTTAAGACGTCACAAGACTGATACAAAAGCTGCGTTGGGAAAAGAATAGGTTTAAAAGTAGAAACTTTCAGAATTGCCCTTTGGGTTATTTCAAGTTTAATTAAAGTGGACTTATCTGTCCCACCCCAGCAAGATACACAATATGATAATATTGATTCGACCAGCGCATAGTATATCTGTTTCACAATTTTGGCGTCCGCAATGTGTCGAATTTTTTTAAATATATATAGAAGTTTCCGTAACCTACTATTTAATAATTCTATATGGGCCTTAAAGTTCATATTGGCATCAAGCGTTATGCCCAGATACTTTATTGTGCCCGTTTTATTTATTATAGGACACACACACACTTGTTCAGCTTGGTTATTACAGCTATGAAAATGCAAATTAAAAGGGTCAGTTACTTTTGATGAGTCACGAGCCGAAAAGTTTATGAATTTTGTTTTATCAAAATTTAGTGTCAAATAATTATTCCTTAGCCAATTGAAAACTGTATTGAAACCCATTTGAGACCTGTCGTAAACCTCCGTCCAACTATCTGCTGAGAATAGAAGAGCAGTATCATCAGCATATGAAACTATTTTGCCCTGATGAAGTTGTAAGTTACACAGATCGTTCACATATACCAGGAAAAGCGTAGGACCCAGAACACTACCCTGAGGTACACCAAAGGAAACAGGCAAGTCGTCACTAATGTGTTGGTCTATTCTAACACATTGTGTTCGCCCTGACAAATAGTCGGAAAAAAGTTTTAATTCCGTACCTCGTACTCCAAGGGACTCAAGCTTGGACAAAAGTCTTGGTATAGGGACGGTATCAAAGGCTTTGGCTAGATCAAGGAAAATACCGATCGACTTTTTGCCTTCGTCCATATTTTTAACTATCCGATCTGTAAGTTCGAACACAGCGTCTTCTGCAGATTTTCCAGAACGAAAGCCAAATTGGTTATTAGACAATAGTTTATAATGCTCAAGATATCGAGTTAGCCTGTTGTTAATTAGCTTTTCGAGTATTTTAGAAATCGCTGGAAGCAGGGAAATGGGCCTATAGTTATCAATACGATCCCTGTTACCTGACTTATGTATTGGATGGATGACTGATTTCTTCAACACGTCTGGAAATATACCATTTTTTAGACAGAGCTGGAACATATGTGTCAAGGGTAAAATAAGAATATCCTTAAATTCTTTGAGTACTCTGTTTGATATGAGATCCCATCCTACAGAAGACGTATTTTTCAGACCCATAATCAAGTCTTCAATCTCTACTGGATCGGTATCTAGCAGCACGAAGGAGTCCTTATGAGGCGTGACATTTATTGGACTTGTAGCTTTATTGGGATTATTGAGAAATTTTGAGGCCAAATTAAAACCTATGTTAGCAAAATAGTTATTAATTTTGTTAATAGAATATACCGTCTCCGAAGAAGTTAATAATTCACTTGCATGATTTTTATTTTTTGTAGTGTGAGTAGCCTTTTTTATAGCATCCCATAGTTTTTTTGAATTATTACCCGCTTTTTTAATTTCATTCCTTTCATAAATATTTTTGGCTTTTTTGATTATATTAGTACAATAATTTCTATATCTTGTGTATGTAATTTTAAGTATAATGTTCTCCGGGTTCTTTTTTAATTTTTTATGCATCATATCACGATTTCTAAGACATTTAAGAATGCCTGGTGTTATCCACGGCTTAATCAAACGTCGTCTACATGCCACATTTACCACAATTGAATTCGAGATAATAGCTTGTCGAATACTTGACAAAAAGTATTGCATTGAGGAGTTCACATCAGGTGAAGAGAAAATTATGCTAAAATCTATGTTTTTTATGTCACACCTTAGTTTATTAAAATTAATTTTGGTTGATTTTCTATGGGTTTGTACTTTAGGTGATTTTAATTGAAGACATAGCAAAACCGCCTGATGATCCGTAACCGTGCTGTTTAGTACTAATGTATTTGCTTTTTTATGGGTTTTTAAAATAACATGGTCAAGACATGCTAGTTCACGCGTTGGCAAGATATGGGCAGGCAAAAGACCATGAAACGCAGTCAAATTCAGGTATTCATTAGCGGAATTATCTAAGTTCTGCTGCAAAATATTTATACTAACGTCACCGATAATAGCAATATTTTTGAACGAATTAAGGTCAGAAAGAACAAAATTCAGAGATTGTAGAAATGGACTGACGTTTTTATAAGAAGGCGATCTATACATTGCAATTAATGCAGTTTCAGAGCCAAATTTAAGAACTAAGCTATTAGAATCAGGTATATCAGGTTCCTCTATGACTATACTTAAATAAGACTTAATGTATATAACCACGCCCTCATTTTGGTTTTTATTTTTAGTACTTTCATAACAAGAATAACCTTCCATTTTTGGTAAAATGGGATTACAAGATAACCAGCACTCTGTTAACACAAGTACGTCACATTCAAAGCTCAGTCTATGAATCAAAGTGACTAGTGCATCGAAATTTCTATTAATACTTCTGATATTTTGAGTTATTATGGTGAGGTATTTAGAAGGGTATTTAATTATATTAATGCATTCTTCAATATCACATACCTGAGAGTCAGAAACTGTAATGTTGTCTATATCTTCAATAATGTTTTCACCCATAATGAGAAGATACAAAATGCAATAGGATCAATTTGGGTAATATAGCATGAGTACATATATCTACAAATAAACAAATTATGATGCTGAAAGATTTTTTTTGGGAAAAGTAACACAATGTTTTAGTTTGTATATAATAGGTAAATATCATGTCTTTGTTTATAATATATAACGAGAAGCGATGGGTTATGTGTAAAGTGTGATATAGTTTATTAAAACAAACAAAAGAGAAAAACGAAAAAATCATTGCAGAATTTAACGATAATTCAGGGTTTAGTCAGATACTTTCAGCATTTTTTAATTTTGTCAGATCTGCTTCTGCATTAATACGTATTTGAGGTGCGCCTTCTTTTTTACGTAAGTAAATTTTACCATAGGATGTCCAACAGTAACCATATTTAAATGTTTTCGCAAAATCGCGAGACAAGTAGAATAGTCTTCTCGCTCTTGCAGTAAGACACTCAGCCAAAAAAAACTGTTTCGGTTCTCCTTCAAGTTTTAGTCGCGAGGTGTTGAGAGAATTGGGGTCAGACTTTCTCAGCTTCTTCGCGAGCATTAGCAATTTTTCCTTGTGTAGGACAGATGAGAACTCCACAATAATAGGTTTAATCTTATCTGGTTTAGCGAAACCTCGATATACATCGCGGAAATCTGATTTTTGCAGTTGTAGATTAAGGATGTTGCCGATATTTTGTACCAGGTTAAGAAGCACTTCTTTGTTCTCCTTTAGTAAAACTGGGACATTCCGTATTTCTATTTTGCTAGAAGACACGTTTCTCTCAATATTTTCAATCTTATTTTCTAAGTTCTCTATGTAAGACCAGTTTTCCCTACGTTCTTCTTTTAGTTTTTCGATTTCCTTGTGTAGTTCATCATATTTTTCAGAGATCATGTCGATAAAAGTTTGAGTATTACTATTTTGTTCCTTTATTTCCATTATAGTTTCTTGAAGAGTTTGCAATTTTGAGTTTTGGTCCGAAACAAAGTTTGCAAACATAGTACGCATTTCAGCAATAAATTCCTGCATTTCAGCATCACCATGCTTTCTCTTCATGCGATTTTTAGTAATATTCTGTAGACTCGCACTCAGGTCCACATCGGGCTCAGCCACACCAGCGTTCTTTAAATCGGTATCGGATAATGTTTTTGTAGGTGGGGGAGTACGTTTGAGAGGCATGGTGTATAAAATTAGTGTCTCTTTAATTAACAAAAGAGAAAAAATAAAAAATAAAAATAAAAAGCCGCTCCTTACAAACTTTCCGCCAAACGCTCTCGCTTATGACTCACGGCAGCCCCTTAAGTACACAGCATTCGCATGGATAGACGCAGCGACGATAACGTATGCCGTCTCTCTGATGTTGTTTCCTTCGCACTGAGTCGGCTACGCCTCACCGCAGCTCATGCAATCCTGGTACACTGCTTGATTTATTTTCACTGATTTATTAAATTTCATTTATTACAATTATTATTTTTGACTTAATATTCACAAAATCAATACGCAGCACACGTTTAAACGCTATCGCGGTCCAGAGGGGAGAGGATATTAAGTCTACATTAAATAAGTCATATGTAGAAATTTTGAAGTAATGCCTTGTATTGTTAGAAGCTTGACTCTAAATCAGATCTGATAACTTTTTAATAAATGTTTTATGTAAAATCTCATACTTAACAGTAAATTACAATCACCCCACATGTTACCACAGCAAGTTACTTTATCTCTCGACATATCAAATTTGTGTCTCGTAAAGGTATCTCATCTGTGTTTGTTTTACGGCAGTGGTAAAAGTACGTTACAGCCATAATATGTAAGTACCTGTCTCAAATTGTTATCCGTCATCCCATCTAATCCTTAGTGGTTAACGATAAATATTGGGCTGCGTAAGAATGTTTTAATGACAATAGATTTGGTAGGTACTATGGAGCTCTAACCAGAATGGATAGAGCCTGGGGACGTGGCTCTTCATTAAAACAACTTGACGATGGTTATTATTTTATATTAGATTTCAGGCGATTATAATTATTTTTATCTAACTACGAGAGGTTTGCTTGGTGCCTGAAGATCTTCTCTTGAATGGAACCTTCTATCAAAAGACGATTCCTTATTTCAAATCTGAAAATCATGACATTAACTTTTTAATATAACTGCCAACGGTAGGCATTGCAAAAGCAAAGAGTTTACCTAAACAAGGAGGCTGTAACGTCACGGACGTTATAGTACCGTGATACGATCTCTTTTATAATTCGATAGGTTTCAAAACATTTTCATATTAATACGGGTATATATACAGGGCGTGCGTGGACAGTCGGCAATGGTAGCTGCGACCATACCCGCACTCCCGGCGTGCATTGAGGGGACTGCGGTCCTCAGAATGTACGCCGGGTGACTGGTGCAGGAGTATTGTCTGGTTTTTAGTGGCCCTATTTAGGGCGTTAGGTAAGAGCCCTGCTCATTTCACCCGGCCTAAGGGCTGGCTGAATTGAGCAGGGTGGAGTCTCACATACCGTGGTTGAAGCATGCGTAAGGCATTTCCCAGACAAAAAAAAAGGGGTATATATACAGGACGTCCCAAGGGTTTGTCACACGGAGGCTATTTTACTGAAACAAGACATTATTTTATTGTATATGTATTTTCACTTGCCCTGTAGGATTAGATACATAAATCGAGTATAAAATAGGTTTAAGTAGGTTTTTAGCAACTGTTTAGTTTTAGAACTTTGTGGGGATATTTAATATAAGCATTGTATAAGATTAATCTTGTTAGAATCTTATTAGAATGGGTCAATAAGACATGGATCAATATAAATTGCATAGTTTCCAACCGATAATCATCCGATTAAGTCGAAAAATATCGAGGTGAGGTGCGCGTATAAAGTAGTACTTAATACAAAGTACTTTGTGTACACAGTACTTAGTACTTTGTGGCGGCCGGGGGCGCGTGGTAGGGCGTGATATAAACATCGCACATACTAAATGTCCCCACTGCTGGGGCACAGGCTTTCCTTATGAATGGAATAGGGAGATTGGGCCGTGACCCACCACGCGAGCCCAGTGCGGATTGGTGGGTGTTAACGACTGCAGATGCAGCCGGGACCAACGGCTTAACATGCCTTCCGAAGCACGGAGTAGCTCGAGATAGTAAATTTTTGGTCACCCATCCAATGACCGACCACTGCGAAAGTTGCTTAACTTCAACGATCACAGCCGAACGCGCTGACCACTTGCGCCATCGAGCTCCTCGAGATTTTTGCACGCCACAGCTAGAGAGGTATGGATCGCTGGCCAGCTCATCACGCGCATATAAAAGCAGCAGGAAGCAAGTCATTGAGCAACCGACGCTCCTACTAAAAGGAATAACAAGAAATAACCAGCTGTCACTCTGGACTCTGGACCTGAAGACTCCTTGCCGGCCATTCATTACCAGCGCCCGCAGACTTTCTTCGACACCGAATCTTGGGAGTTTTATTTCGTTCATCGCAAGCTACAGTCCTCACAACGCCGTCAAGACTCCTACGCCACGGTAATATTATCTATACAGTATTGTGACTCGGCCCTGTCCTTGAAATAACTGCCTACTGCTGAGCGGGGCGTATCCATGCGGTAGGCCTGCCTACAGTATTTTAATTTTATCTACATAATTGAGTTTCTTTCTAGTTTGTGATTGTAATTTTTTTAAATAGCATGTAAAAAAAACTTGTGAATGAATTAGGAAGTGTTACATAAAATACATGTTATTTTAAGTGTAATATTTAATAAAACAGTAAAACAGAAAAATATTTACGCCTCGACTGAGACGTACGAAAAGCTTTATTATTAAATTTAATAGTATAACAAATACGCATTCGTATAAAAAGTTTAATTATTGACGAGTTCAAGCAACCAAAAACAGCACAATATCGACTATTGCTCTTTCCCATATTGAATTATGTAGATATCTACTTAATTCTATCAAATATTCACAATACAAACTTTTAATGCACGGGTAACTGCTTAAAAAACAATTCACACCGTTCGGACGTCGCTGCGGCGAGCGTCGCGCGAACTCGAGTAGCATAGGTATGACACGCTTTCCGACCGTTTGTATGAAGATAGAATACTGTATAGATAATATTACCATGCCTATGCGTTCACCTTCCACCCCCAAGTGCGAGCCAGTAACTGCCAGCTACTGCTACAGCCCGGCGTGCCGTACAATTGGTATATTTCTTACGGCGCGCTAACGACTGCAGTTGCAGCTAGAAACAACAACTTTTAGTTAAACTACAAATTCTTGAAGCAATAAATCAACAATGAATTCTAACATTTCCCATTACCGGAATGTATTTCCTTATGACGACTGCTTGTGTTGCTCCACAAAACGTTGGTTCGGTTTTTGTGGCATCTTGTCACTGACAATATATATTTGATTGCACCTATATCAAATCAGAAACGACATATTCTATGAAAAGGTCTTTGTGGGAGAAGGAAACTCTTACGTAATTCCACCTTACACGTCTATGTGGTAAAATGTATTTTTTTCCGAAATGGAGCGAAGCACATTTTTCCGTTATATTGTGTGTGATTTCGGACGAGATAAGTATTCGATTTTACAGCGCGCGAGAGTGCGATTTTACAGCGCTTAAGCGCAGGAACACTTTGTAGTGTCATCATCATCATCAACAGCCTATTAATGTCCCTACAGTCACTGCTGGGGCACAGGTTTTCTAATGAATTGTATGAAACAACTTTTTTGAATACTCCGACAGTTCTAAAGTGATTTTTTTTTCATACATCTCCACAATGATGTTTTATAGTTACAGATACGTCATACACGCTTCTAATTTGGCAACACGAAAGTCCGACTTATATTTTACGTTTTTCCAGACTAAAAGCCCTATGTGTGTTTTAAGATAATACACAAATTACACGGGAACTATTAGAGACAAGAAAACATGTAATTTCAGTCGTAAGTACAGTTATAAAGAAATTAATGTAAAAATATTTAGTGGTTACTTGATGTCACCGTTGACACGTGGAGGCTAAAGAGCGAGATGAAATCTGCTTTATGAACGAGAGTGAGAGAGAATACTTTAGTGCGCTCTATTGGCGGCTGTTGTCAAGGGAAGTTAACACACTATCACGTACGCTGGCCGCTTCATCCAAACACAGTGATGTAGACATGTCTTCTTCTCTTCGTAAATTTAAGTCTGCTATTTTAGATTCTTTTTTACCAACATAGATCAAATCATATTATTGTTTAGCATACCACCACAACGACTTCGATTCTAGCAGCGTTCTCTAGGCCTAGACTTGAATTAGACGGCAGTATATCCTTGTCATTCTCAATACAGAGTGCAAGTGAGGGACTGCTGTTGTCAAGGGAAGTTAACACACTATCACGTACGCTGGCCGCTTCATCCAAACACAGTGATGTAGACATGTCTTCTTCTCTTCGTAAATTTAAGTCTGCTCTTTTAGATTCCTTTTTACCCACATAGATCAAATCATATTATTGTTTAGCATACCGCCACAACGACGTCGATTCTAGCAGCGTTCTCTAGGCCTAGACTTGGATTAGACGGCAGTATATCCTTGTCATTCTCAATATAGAGTGCAAGTGAGGGACTGCTGTTGGATCTGTCTTTGGGTCTGGAGAATGATGTCAGAATGGATATGAATATGTACCTAATATTTAGTTTTGTGGTTTTGAAGTGTTTGTACTAGGTTCCCTTATTTTGTTTGTCGTAAGTCTACTTCGTAAGTAAATTTTTTACGCATGCAGTGGCAGCCTTTTAGTAAGGCAGCACTAAGAATTGTTTTCTTTATTTCTTTCTCAGTTTGTATTTTTATTTGGTATTTGTTTAGTTGGTTGTCCTTAATAAATAAATAAATAAAGTTGAGGCGGGGACTATTTGTGCCATTTTTAAACTGCGATTATGTTGGCGTATAACCTGTCTATATACTCGTTATATACGTCATTGAGTTCAAGGTTTACATATCATGAAAAACATTTTTGTAAGTCACCCTTTAAACAGACTACGTCTGCTTTGTAGTCATGGATTAATGTCCATATTATGCGATTATGAAAACATATTTTTTAAACAATATCAATAGTGGATTTTAAACTTAATGAAACTTTACAAGAATAATAGTATTATTATTATTATTATTTCCTTTATTTCATTAAAATACATACAAAATTATATTTCTAAATATTAAATTTTTACAATGTATAGCATTAAAAAAAATAACATTTAAAAATACAAAAATGCAGTTCCCCATCGGCAGCAAGATCAGGGTCCCTGCTACCGGCGGTTAAGGATCCATAGACAGGAACCTCCTGACTATACGGGCCGTGTCCAGAAGAACTGCCTTCTGCTTCTGACTCTTGACCCAACCACCTAACGCGAGCCTCTTAAGGTGTTTATCGAGGCTCTTGGCTATCAAACCATGGGCAGATATGATTATCGGCACAACAATTGCTGAATCGATGTCCCACATGTCAACAATCTCGCGAGCTAAATCAAGATATTTGTTTTCTTTATCTTT